GGGCGCCCCCCTGCCCGCGCCCCCGGGCCGGGCGGCAGCCCCGCGGTGGGCTCAGCTCCCCCCGGGACTCTGCCCCGCGCTGAGAGGGGGCCAAGCTGAGAAAAGTGCCCGCTGGGAGAGTTCTCTCCCCGCGGCATCCCCCACCGTGCAGGGTCCCGCCACCCAAGCCCCGGCACAGGGTGGGTGCAGGCTGCGAGGAGCCAGGCCCCAAGAGAGCACCCCAAAGGCAGGGGTTTCCAATGGGGTCTTGGCCACTGCTGTGGGGCAGCTTTGGGGACATCAATGGCAGCACATTTTAGCCATCCACGGCATAGAAGGAGTCTCAGCAAGCTAGCAAAGGGGACCCTGCGGGGACAGGGGTGCTCAGGGGACACAAAATCCCTGTTGAACCTTGGCAGCCATCAGGGGTGGGAGCAGGGAACAAGGTTGGAAGCGGGCAGAAGAAGAGATCCAAGCCAGTCTCTGGGATCTGGGCACAAACTGCTTTTCCCAATGCTGCAAATGCAGAGTCCCCCCAAAAAATCAACAAGTTCATTTAAATTAAAGCAGACACAAATATAAGAGGGGCAGCACCATACCCAGAGCACGATGCAGAGGAGCCTGGGACCCTGTAGGGTAAGGCAGAGGCAGGGCCAGTGTCCAAAATCTCCAGTCACGACCCCCCCAGCCTTCCAAAGCGCCTTCAGTTTGGAAGCCCAATTCCCTGCCGCTTTTGGCTGGCACCTGGACGTCAGCCCTGGCAAAGGATGATAGCTTTAAACCCAGCGTTTCCAGCCCAGATTTGGACTTTTACAAGGTACTCAAAGTTGTAGCTGCCTGCCCACCTCAAAGACCCCCAGAAAATCATGCCAGAACCAACACCCACAGCAGATCCCAAGCACTTTGCAAGCACAGCCCCGGAGCCTCACAGGAGCCCGGCTGCGGGTCTCTGCTGCCACTGGCCATGGGTCCCCCTCCCAGCAAACCGCTTCGGGGAGCTGCAGTTTGGCTTCCAGCAGAGCCAGGCAGAGCGAAGGGAAAAGCCCCGCAGCCCGGCTGGGAACAGCCTGCGTCCACCTGCGGGAGCGAGTGTGTCGAATGTGCTGCTGCGGAGGCAGATGAAACCATGCCTGCTCTGTGGAGCAGCACAGGAGCAGCCCGGGGCTGGGCCGGCAGCGCAGGGCCCCCGGGGCCACGCTGCCCTTCGGGGGATGAGGGGCAGAGCCACAGCTGGGGGCAGGAGGGCTGGGGGTCAAGGGTATCCCAAAGGGAGCGGGAAACCTCTCCGCATGCTTGGGAGGGTTTGTGGATGAGCGCACGATGGCTGTGCAGGGTTTTTCATGGGCACACGGCAGGCTGAGCACAACCTATAGCAAAGAGAACTGAAAAATCCCCCCAAATGCCCTCCTGGCTCCCAGCCTGGAGCACCCAGCCCGGCCGAGCACCTTCCCCGGCTCTGCTCCCACACGCTCAGGGCTGCACCGCCGGGGCGGCGAAGGCAGCCCCCTCGCACCCGTCCTGCACCAGGGGAGCTCTGGCTCTGCTCTGCCTGCGGTGGGGGCGGGGGGGTCCCAGGCTCTGCTGCACCCAGCACCAGCAGGTTGAGCCTCTCCTGGTGCCAGCCCTGCTCAGGTCAGCTCTGAAGGAGTTCAGCGCCCAAATGGACAAGCCTCCCTGTGTCTATAGGGTGCAGGGACCAGGGTGCTGGGTGACTGTCCCCGCTGTGCGCAGCTTTCCCACTCGTGGGGGCGAGCAAGCGGTACGTGCCCGCCAGGTCCCTCGCACCCATAGGTGCTCTCATCCTTCACACCGCAGCGGGTCTCTGATCCCCCCAAAGCTCCCCTGATCCCAGGTGCTGGGTGAGACGCCAAACCACCCACCCGCCTTTGGGGCCGGGGGACCACGCAGAGCCGCTGCTGTCCCCAGACAACAACCCACTGCCACCAGCACGCAGAGCTGTGCCCCGCAGGCTCTCGTCCCACGGCTGCCCCCTCCACAGGCTCCTGCCCAGGGCAGAGCTTGCAGGAGGCTTCACGGGTGCCGGGGGCGAGAAGGATGTGGGCTGAGCACCCAGATCCCCCGGCACGGGCTGTGCCTGCCCGTGGATACCCCCCCACCCTGCTGCCAGCCTGGGAACAGCCTGGCTCTTGCTCCAAGAAGGTTCCCTCTCCCTTTCAAGTGGGCTGGTGAGCTTTGACTTGGTCTTTGCACAGGCTTCATGGCATCGCATGATAATAATGTTCTGTCACAGTGGGTGACCTGGACCTTGTCCTGTTTCCACACATTTGGAGCCACCTGGCTAATGAAGTGGATATTGTTTTCTGGTCCATCTCTCTCACCCTATTGCTCTTCCCCCTTCCTCCGCACCCAGCTCCTCCGAGCGGTGTCAGGAGCCTCACTGCAATCGGCCTTTTCCCATCGTTGTCCGGCACAGCTCATTAACTCCTCTCAGCAGAAGAGCGTGGTCATTACGGCTTGGGGGGTCGATGGGTGCCCCACAGGGCTGGGAGCACATAGTTTCCCAGCCGGGGGAAGGCACCAGCCCAGTGTGAGCATCAGCCTGAGATTTCACCAGGAGGTGACTGTGGCTGGGAACACTGGACGGCTGCACAGTGTTTTGTTGTTGTTTTTTTTTTAAGCTGAATATGCTCTGCTTTGCCCCCCAGCTCTCCGAAGCCACCCGGTTTGCAGCCAGCCCACGCGTGTCACGGGAGGGTCTGGGTGCCTGCTGCTGGCCACCGGCTCCCATGGCTGGAGGCGGCTTCACCTCCCGCTCCCCCATCACTCACAGCACCAGAGAGGCTCCCCAGTACCAGACTAGAAGCCCATCCCCTCGCAATCACCGCAAAGGAATAACTGTCCCAGCACGATTGCCTCGGCCAGGCAATCCCTCGCCTGCAGCCACAGCCTCCTCCATCATCCACGGAGGGACCAGCAGCGTTTGCCCTGAGCACGGGCAGCAGCTCCCACCCGGGCAGCGAAGCCATCCGTGCCGGCCGCGGCCGCCATAGCCAGCCCCGGGCAAGGCTGCGGCACCAGGGACTTTGCTCCTGGCACCGTGTGGCTGCGTCTCAGGCAGAGGAAGCCTTGGGCCAGGCGGGGGCACCCTGCCAGGGCACCCCCACGTCCCCGCCGGGGCAGCCTCACGCCCACCCTCACCCTGGGCAGCATGGGGACATGGGAGCCACGGGACCTGGGGACCAGCAGGGATTTCTCCCATGAGCCGCCACGGCAGGCCAGCCGGGTACAGCGGCGCCGGAGAATTTCTGCCATGGACGCACTTACGCATTTCGTATATGTGTCTCATTTTTTTCTTAGTTTCATTTAACGGCTGAGCGCGTGCAGACACACCGCCTCTGACCTCGCGGGCAGTGGGCAAGAGAATTCCCACCAAAACAGGGCCATTAAATCCCCTCGTTGATATTTTTTACTCCTCCGCCCCCACTTGCGACAAGAATTTCGCATTCCCTGCCTGCCTCCGCCTCCCCCACATCAAGGTGATGTAATGTTTTTAAGTCTTCTCCCATCCCCACCTTTATTAAATATGACCCGCGGTTGATCCCCGCGCAGGGCGAAGGGAAGCTGTGGTTTCGGGAGGGATCAGACATGAAAGGGAGAGCTGCCCGCCCCGCGCGGGACTCACTCAGCAGGGCCACGGGGAGCCCTCGCACCCTGGCCACCCCAGTATTTGCAGCTCTCCAACATTGCAGAGGTTATGGGGACGGTGGCACAGATGCCGCTTTCACCTTCCGAGGGTGGTCGGGTCTGTTGGCACTTTGGTTTGGGATGTAAATGCTCTCACTCCTCGTCTTCTCCCTCCCAGATGATGGACAGAGCCGTGGCTCTCCTCCTGCAGAGCTTTTGGGATGGTGGCTCAGTTGTAGGGGTCTGGTGCCCCAGCTCCGGGCTGAGCCCTGCTGTCCCCGTCCCCCAGCCCGGCTGCTGGCCACGGCCATCAGCTGTCACCTGTGGTCCCCAGCTGGCACCAACCCCCTGTGGATGCCCCGACACCAGCCACGCTGCACAACCCACTCGGCACGAGGGGAAGGGGAAGGGACACGCCTGAGGGGTCACGGAGCCGCAGAGAGAGGCAGCGGGGAAGAAAGGACTCTTCCACCCATGTGTCCCCGGCTCTGAGCACAGCGAATCCTGGGCGAACCTCAGCTTCAGCCCTGCAGGCAGCTGGGGCAAGTTGGGCATGGGGAAAGAGATGCTCCCGGGTGGCTCAGGCACCAAATTTCTCCCCAACTGTTTTCCACCGTGGTCCTATCTCGCCCAAGAGGAGTGCTCGGGCAGGGCTGGGGCTCCGGGTGGGCTTTGCTGGCAGCACTTCTCCCAGCCCGCAGCTCCCAGCCTTTCAGCAGAGCATTGGTGCTGGGGACACAACGGGGAACCCCTTGCGTTGTCCCTCTGGCTGCAGTGCAGGTGTACCCACCTTGGGGGACATCCATCGTCCCGGTCCCATTACCCAGGTCTGCTGCGGCACCACCCAGCACACTGAGCCCCAGATGGAGGGCAGACGAGGCCAGAGCCGGGGACGGCACGGCAGGAGGGACAGGAGCGCGGGTGCCACCCAGGGCTTGCCGGGAGCTGTCGGGGAGGCTGCCGGGACAGGGCGGAGGGGTGGGCAGGAGGACACCCGGCAGCAGCGTTTGTCTGTCACTCCGATAATTAATGCTTCTCCCTTACACTTTGCAAATAACTCGCGACTCTCTTTGTCTGGTGATA